TACTTCTGCTTCTTGGTCTACACTAAACTGTTTGATTGTGTAGGTCACGACAAACTGTGGGAAATTCTTAAAGACATGGGAGTACCAGATCACTTATCTGTCTCCTGAGAAATCTGTATGTAGATCAGGAAGCAATCATTAGAACCAGACATAGAACAACTGATTGGTTCAAAATTGGGAAAGGAATACAGCAAGGCTATGTTCACCCTGTGTGTATAACTTATATGCAGAGTACATTATGTGAAATGCTGAGCTGGATGAATCACAAGCTGGAATCAACACTGCTGGCAGAATTATCAACAACCCCAGATATGCAGATGATACCACTCTAATGGCAGAAAGTAAAGAGGACTAAAGAACCTCTTGATGAAGGCGAAAGAGATGGAAAGCTGGCTTGAAACTCAACATCAAAAAGCTAAAATCATGGCATCTGGTCCCATCACTTCATAGCAAATAGAAGGGGAAAAAGTGGAAACAAGGACAGATTTTATTTTCTTGGGCTCCAAAATCACTGTGGACAATGACTGCAGCTATGAAATTACAAGACGCTCACTCCTTCGAAGGAAAGCTATGACCAACCTAGAGAGCATATTAAAAAGCACAGACATCTGGAGAGGGAGGCGGGAGGGGGGACTGGGATGGGGAACACATGTAAATCCATGGCTGATTCATGTCAATGTATGGCAAAAACCACTACAATACTGTAAAGTAATTAGCCTCCAACTAATAAAAATAAATGGAAAAAAAAATAAAAAGCAGAGACATCACTTTACCAACAAAGGTCCTTTAGTCAAAGCTATGGTTTTTCCAGTAGTCATGGACAGATGGGAGAGTTGAACCGTAAAGAAGAGGGAGTGCCAAAGAACTGATGCTTTCAAATTGTAGAGCTGGAGAGACTCTTGAGAGTCCCTTTGACTTCAAAGAGATCAAACCAGTCAATCCTGAAGGAAATCAACCCTGAATATTCATTGGAAGGACTGATGCTGAAGTTCCGATACTTTGGCCACCTGATGCAAAGAGATGACTCACTGGAAAAGACCCTGATGCTGGAAAGATTCAGGTCAGGAGGAGAAGCAGTCGACAGAGGATGAGATGATTAGCTAGCATCACCAACTCAATGGACATGAATTTGAGCCAACTCCAGGAAATAGTGAAGGACAGAGGAGACTGGTGTGCTGCAGTCCATGGGGTTACAGAGAGTCGGATATGACTTACTGACTGAAAAACAATAGCAACAAAACACCTAACCTTCTGAAACTGTTCCACAAAATTACAGATGTAGGAAAACTTCCAAACTCATTCTCTGATGCCACCATCACCCTGTGATCAATACCAAAGATACCACAAAAAAAGAAAATTACAGGCCAATATCAATGATGAATGTAGAGGCATAAATCCTCAACACAATACTAACAATCCAAGTCCAACAATACATTAAAAAGATCATTCACTATGATCAAGTGGGATTCATGTACGGATGCAAGGATTTTTCAATATCTGCAAATCAATCAATGTGACACACAAACTGAAGGATAAAAACCATATGATTATCTCAATAGATGCAGAAAGACAAAATTCAGCACCTTTTTATGATAAAAACTCTCCAGAAAGTGGGCATGGGGGGAACATTCCTCAACATAATAAGGCCATATATGACAAATCTACTGTGTAACATCATACTAATGTTGAAATGCTGAAAGCATTTTCTCTAAGATCAGGAATAAGACAAGGGTGTTCGCTCTCACCACTCTTATTCAGCATAGTTCTGGATGTCCTAGTTACAGCAATAGGAGAAGAAAAAGAAACAAATAGAATCCAAATTGAAAATGAAGAAGTTAAACTGTCACTATTTGCAAATGAGATGATACTATTCATAGAAGACCCTAAGGACGCTACTACAAAACTATTAAATCTCACCAGTGAATCTAGTAAAGTTGCAAGTTACACAATGAATACACACACACAAAAATGCTGCATTTCTATACAATAACATCAAAAGATCAAAAAGAGAAATTCAAGAAACAATTCCATTTACCCTCATATCAAAAGGATAAACTACCTATGAATAAACCTACCTAAGCAGACTAAAGACCTATACTCTGAAAATTATAAGCTGTTGATGAAGGAAACTAAAGAAGACACAAACAGATGAAAAGATATATCATGTTCGTGGACTGGAAAAATTAATATTGTCAAAATGAATATACTACCCAAGGCAATCTACAGATTCAATGCAATCCTGATCAAATGACCAATGGCATTTTTCACAGAACTACGGCTTCCTTGGTGGCTCAGACGGTAAAGAATCCACGTGCAATGTGGGATACCTGGGTTCGATCCCTGGGTTGGGAAGATCCCCAGGTGAAAGGAATGCAACCCTTGCCAGTGTTCTTGCCTGGAGAATCCCCATGGACAGACGAGCCTGGTGGTACAGTCCATGGGGTCGCAAAGAGTCAGACACAACTGAGCAACTAAGCAGAGCGCAGCAGAGAACAAAAAAAATCTCAAAATCTGTTTAGAGACACAAAAGACCTCGAATAGCCAAAGCAATCTTAAGAAAGGAAAACGAAGCTAGAGGAATCAGACTTCCTGACAAAAGTAGAAATATAGATCAATAGAACTGAATAGAAACCCCAGAAGTAAATTCATACACCTTTGGTCAGTTAATCTATGACAAAGGCAAGACAATACAATGTTGGACAGTCTCATCAGCAAATGGTGCTGGGGGAACTAGACAGCTACCTGTTTAAAAAAAAAAAAAATCATTCTTTAATACCATACACAAAAATAACCTCAAAATGGATTAAAGACCTAAATGTGAGACCAGACACTATAAAACTCCTAAAGGAAAACATAAGCAGCACAATCTTCAACATAAATGTAGCAATATCTTTTTTATCTGTCTCCACAAATAATGGAAATAAAAACAAAAATGCACAAATGGGGCCTTAAAAGATTTTGCACAGCAAAGAAAACAAAAAACAGAATGAAAGGAAAACCCACAGATTGATATAAACTGTCTGCAAATGATGTGACTGACATGGGATTAGTCTCCAAACTTTACAAACAGCTCATGAGGTTTAACATAATCAAAACAAACAACCCACTCAAAAAATGGGCAGAAGACCTAAATAGACATTTCTTCAAAGGCATACAGATGACCAAGAGGCACATGAAAAGATGCTCAACATCGCTAATTACTATAGAAATGTAAATCAAAACTACAATGAGATATCATTCACACCAGTCAACATGGCTATCATCAAAAAAATCCACAAAGAATAAATACTGGAGAGAGTGTGGAGATAAGGGAACCCTCCTACAATGTCGGTGGGAATGCAAATTGGCATAGGCACTATGTAGAACAATACGGTGGCTTCTGTAAAAACCTAAAAATACAGCTACCATATGACCTTGCAATCCCATCCCTGGGCATATTCCTGAAAAAAATCATGGTCCAAAAAGATATATGCACCCAAGAGTTTGTTTCAGTACTGTTTACAATAGCTAAGACATGGAAGCAACCTAAAAGTCCATTTACAGAGGAATGGAGAAAGAAAATATGGTACATATATACAATGGAATATTACTCAGCCATTAAAAGAATGAAATAATGCCATTTGCAGCAACATGGATGAATCCAGAGATTGTCACACTTAGTGAAGTAAGCTAGACAGAGAAAGATAGTGTATGATACCCCTTCTAAGCAGAATCTGAAAAGAATTGGTACACATGAACTTATTTACAAAACAGAAACAGACTCACAGACTTAGAGAACAAGCCTAGATGCCAGAGCAGGGCAGGATTGCGGAAAGAATACGGGGAAGGAATAGTTAGGAAGTTTGTGATTGACATATGCACACTGCTATATTTAAAATGAATAACCAACAAGGTCCTACTGTATAGCACAGGGAAGTCTGCTCAATGTTATGTTGCAGCCAGGATAGGAGCAAAGTCTGGGGGAGAATGCATACATGTATATGTACTACTGAGTCCCTTTGGTGTCCACCTGAAACTATCACATCACTGTTAACTGGCTATACTTCAATATAAAATATAAAGTAAAAAAAAAAAACTATCCAAAATTTTCTCAAACATCAAGAACCAGGAAGTAGTTATTATAGATGAAATAAATTACTTTTTAACAATATAAAGCATGTATTTCATTTCCATTATTGCTATGTGTTTCATGAAGATCAGAGACAATTTTGTAGTTCAAAGTTCATAACTGTTAAGTCATACAACTCACATATACCTATAATCCAAGCTTGACTTGGAGTTGATAGTCTCTTTTTACTGTCTTTGATCTTAGTTTTTATTTATTTACACTTGTCCATTTACTATATGGGTTAATCAGTTCAGTTCAGTTGCTCAGTCATGTCCGACTCTTTGCAACCCCATGAACAGCAGCACATCAGGCCTCCCTGTCCATCACCAACTCCCAGAGTCCACCCAAACCCATGTCCATCAAGTCAGTGATGCCATCCAACCATCTCATCCTCTGTCATCCCCTTCTCATCCTGCCCTCAATCTTTCCCAGCATCAGGGTCTGTTCAAATGAGTCAGTTCTTCGCCATCAGGTGGCCAAAGTATTGGAGTTTCAGCTTCAGCATCAGTCCTTCCAATGAACACCTAGGACTGATTTCCTTTAGGGTGGACTGATTGGATCCCCCTGCAGTCCAAGGGACTCTCAAGAGTCTTCTCCAACACCACAGTTCAAAAGCACCAATTCTTCGGCACTCAGTTTTCTTTATAGTCCAACTCTCACATCCATACATGACCACTGGAAAAACCATAGCCTTGACTAGATGGGCCTTTGGTGGCAGAGAAATGTCTCTGCTTTTTAATATGCTCTCTAGGTTGGTCATAACTTTCCTTCCAAGGAGTTAAGCGTCTTTTAATTTCATGGCTGCAATCAATATCTGCAGTGATTTTCCTTCTAAAACTCACTGAAAAGTAAAGAAAGCAGCAATTAAATAAATGAACAAATAAGAACTTACCAGGGACTTGGTCATTTCTGGCTCTTCTGGGAAAGGGGCAGAGATCTGAGAAAAGAGATTGACAGAGGGACATATGAGAGAAGGAAATGTGTCAGTGTCACTGACTGTCCATGAACCTGACCCAGAAACTTATTTGTAGAACCATATCACAAAAAAATCATCCAGTACTGTACAAAGATTTAAATGCAGGAGTTTTACCACAGCATGGCTAATACCAAAAAAAAAAAAAAGAAAATTAGAAATATCTTGATACCCAATAATTATCAACAGCTTAAATACTTCACAGGGCATCCATAGGATACAATATTATGTAAAATTAAGGTACTATAGAAAAATAAAATGCTAAGTAAAAATAAAAAGATGTACCAAACAGTATGAGTCCATTTTCATTGAATAATATGAGTGTGTGTACACATGAACACATACATGAATGCATTCATGCACACAGAGAAAATCATCTGGAAGGAAATATATTAATATGTTAACAGATATAACATTTGGATGATGGGAAAATTATAGGTAATTTGAATGTTTACATTACTAGTAAAAAACAAGAAACACGCATATACCTTCCATCTAATTTAGTATTTTTCATATATGTTTTATCTTCATATGTACACATATAGTTACATGTAAATGCATATATATTTAGGAAGACATGATTGTATATACACTGTTTTTTTTCTTTGCTGAACCATTTGAAAGTTGCAAATGTCATGACACTTCTTGCCTAAATACATCAATCTCCTAAAAGATTATTCAGTTTGGTTCAGTTCAGTCATTCAGTCATGTCTGACTCTTTGTGACCCCATGGACTGCAGTATGCCAGGCTTCCCTGTCCATCACCAACTCCCAGAACTTGCTCAAACTCATGTCCATTGAGTCAGTGATGCCATCCAACCATCTCATCCTCTATCATCCCCTTCTCCTCCTGCCTTCAATCTTTCCCAACATCAGGGTCTTTTCCCATGAGTCAGTTCTTTGCATCAGGTGGCCGAAGTATTGGAGCTTCACCTTCAGCATCAGTGCTTCCAGTCATTCAGGACTGATTTCCTTTAGGACTGACCAATTTGATCTCCTTGCAGTCTAAGGGACCCTCAAGTGTCTTCTCCAACAGCACAGTTCAAAAGCATAAATTCTTTGGGGCTCAGCTTTCTTTATGTAATAAATAAATATTATTTCATTTAATAAAATAAACAATATTTTATTAAATCATAATAAAAAGATTATCATCATACCTGAGGAAATTATTAGCAATTCTATAACACTTCAATATCCAGCTCATATTCAAAATTCCCAATTATCCCAGAAACACCTTTTCTTGCTCTTTTGTTGGAGGCACATTCCAGTCAAGGCTCACATACTCGGGACTGTGTCCCTTTCACCCTAGACCCATCCTCCCTAATATCTTTTTATGATAGACTTTTAAAACTTTTGCTTCTTTTATATTAGAAGTATTTCTATTAAATACACTTTTCTAATACAAATGACATTTAGTTAAACTTCCTTGTTAATTTTTTGTGTGTGTGGTATAACTTATATAAAGTACATGAATAAAGATATATAGCATTTTCCCCTATTTTTCACATCTGTGATTCTGCCATCCCAATTGAGAGAGAACATTTCCAGCACCATTGGCTTAATGAGGGAATCAAGTCATTGTTTTTGCAACTTGTAAAAGAAGGAGAAGAGTCAAGCATAACCAAACACTTCATGAAGAAATTTCTCTGTTTTTATACAATTATTCTAGCTACAAGTTACCAACTAAAAATAGACATTTGCCATCTGCCTCTACAACAATTAAGTCACTAGCCACAGTGACCACTGACCTTCAGCACACCCTGAAAGATGTTCAGGGTGGAGATCAGCAATGAGGCACTCTGCGCTCTGGCAAAAACTGGTAGAACAGGCCTTTAGATGTATTTTCAGGAGATTTTACCAGTTTTGATTCTTGCATCTTCTCATATATAGAAAGGCATTAAAATCATTAACAGAAACATCTCCTTGTGACTAGCAGCAACCTTCTCATGACTAGCAGCAAGCCTCCACCAAAATGTGTGCTTGACTTAAATCTTATGTAATATTGACCTTCCCTCCTTTCCCCTCAGAGCTATATGAGACACTGTCCCCTGAGCTATACTCCTTATCTTGCTCCCAAATGAAACTTAACTCTCAGCTCTCAGATTATGCATTTTTTAAGTCAACAAAGTGAAGGAACGGTAGAAAGGGAAATGTCCACTTGGCACACATAATGAAATATGGACTAAGAAACAATCATCAACGGCTCCTCACATCACAAAAACAAATAAGCAGACGTTATGTGCCTCCTGATCAAGTACACAAAATCACCTTGGAAGTAATCTTGCTCCACAAAAACCAAAACAGGAATCTGAATCTGACCAAGCCTCAAAATCTTACCAATCCAATCCACATAAAATGATCCTTTAAAATATATTGTCATTTTTAAAGGTGTGATAATAGCACTGTGGTTATTTTTATCAAAATATTTTATGTATTGAGATATTTTGAGGTAAAATGACACAGTCTTTGAGATTTGCAACAAAGTAATCCAGTCGAAGAAAAAAGTGTTGGAGGAAGGGATAGATGAGAAACGACTAAGCATGAGCTAATAACTGCAGAAACTGATGGGTAAATGAAGCTTCTTTTTTCTTAATAAGAACAAAGACTTTGTTTCAAACAGGTTCAGTGGTATGTCTACTACAGCAAAGTCTGGTTGTAGCAGTTTCCTTTCAAATCTACACTGACGTATAAATTAGACATTATTTGGGAATGATTAATTTCTGGTAAAATGTAGATTCAATCCAACATGATGCTAATTTCTACATTTATTGTAGGCTCTATTTCAGTACTAGAGGTTAAATTTTCATCACCAAAAAATGAGAATAACCTTACAGCTACTACTAAGGTAATGAGCTGTGAAATTACTTTCCCAGTATTGTTCTGAAAATATACCCCTAGGTTGTTAAGAGAAATTCCAACTTCATCCAAATCTGTTATTTAATTCTTCAGTCATCACCTACTGTTGGCTTGATTGTCACTCCGCTTCTTATTTGACCCCAACCAATTAAACGCCAGTGTTTCTCAACTCTTCAGCTAAGTGCAATTTTTTCTCCTACTTCTGTGCACACAGCATTAGTCAAGACGATTTTGCCCGAATCAGCCTTGACTGCACTAACTCTTCCTCCTGTTGACAGGGATCCTATATTCACCATAAGCACTTCATTCTTAGACAGCTTTTGTACTTTCGCTGCTTTCTTGTCTCCTTCAGTGCGAACACCTAGAAGCCGTCTAAGCAGGAAATAAGAAATTTCCAATTCTGTGAAGATCTCAGGTAAAGCCCCAACTGCACCAAGTACTTGCCCCACCATTCTGTCAGCCTGGCACAAAGTGGGGTCAATTTTTATTCCAACTCCAGTAAGACTTCCTGGGGCAGCATAGTGAAGATCATTATGCTCTGCAAAAACCGATACAATTTTGGAAAAGATAGGTTTACACATGAGTTTTCTTTCACTGTCTTTGGAAACAATACCAGGCCTGACTTCTATCTCCTGGCCCACCTTTAACACTCCTTTTAGAATATTACCACCAGCTACACCCCTCTTAAGGTCATCAACTTCACAGCCAGGTTTGTTGACATCAAAGAATCTAATAACAATAAGTCTGGGTTCTGAAGTAAATTCTCTTGGGGGTACTTGAATTTTCTTTACTATGTACTCACAGACAACTTCAATATTGTATTTTAGCTGAGCAGAAACTGGGATAATAGGAGTGCCTTCTGCTACTGTACCTTGAACAAATTCAAGGGTCTGTTCATACTGTTCTTTAGCCTGGCTTTCTTTTACCAAATCAACTTTACTTTGTAAAATCAAAATATGCTTTAGTTTCATGATTTCTATAGCAGCCAAGTGTTCAGATGTCTGAGGCTGAGGACAAGACTCGTTACCAGCTATCAACAGAAGAGCGGCATCCATCACTGCGGCACCGTTCAGCATAGTAGCCATCAGAATATCGTGGCCAGGACAGTCAACAAAGGAAACATGTCTGACTAATTTGAAGTTCCCTTTGGTCCCTGGAATGTCTGTAGGAAACTCATCGGGTGTGCTACTTCCACAGGATCTATAAAATTCTGGCCGAGGACAACTTGGGTTGTCAAGTTTATAAATCTTAGCATTAGCATACCAAGTTTGATTGTAATATTTCTTTCCAGTTCATTTTTGAAACAGACAGTGTGGACTCCAGAAATAGCTTTTACAACTGTAGATTTCCCATGAGCTACGTGACCAACTGTACCTATATTAATTGTGGCTTGTCTGCTGATAACTTCATATGAAAGTGGCGTCAACTTGGAAACATCCAAAGTAGCAAGATCTTGCCGAGAAAGGTGCGGCTGCCCTAAGGTCACACCAGCCTCGCCCCCGACCATCTTGCCCGGAGAGCTGAAGCTTCTTTACACTTCTTTCTCTACATTCATATTTCTTAAAATTTTCACAGGAGATGTTTAAAAAGTCATCTTTTAGATAGCACTAACTGAAAAAAAAAAAAAAGCACAACCTAATTGTGAGAATTATGCACAAGAGCTGACTGTGGCTCAGATTATGAAATTCTTATTGCCAAATTCAGATTTAAATTGAAGAAAGTGGGGAAAACCACTAAACCATTCAGGTGTGACCTAAATCAAATCCCTTATGATTATACAGTGGATGTGACAAATAGATTTAAGGGACTAGATCTGATAGACAGAGTGCCTGATGAACTATGGATGGAGGTTCGTGGCACTGTACAGGAGACAGGGATCAAGACCATCCCCAGGGGAAAAAAATGCAAAAAAGCAAAACGGCTGTCTGAGGAGGACTTACAAGTAGCTGTGAAAAGAAGAGAAGCCAAAAGCAAAGAAGAAAAGGAAAGATATACCCATTTGAATGCCAAGTTCCAAAGAATAGCAAGGAGAGATAAGAAAGCCCTTTTCAGCAATCAATGCAAAGAAATACAGGAAAACGATAGAATGGGAAAGACTAGAGATCTCT